AGACTTTGTCAGTACTTGCCAGTAGTATGTTAGGAAATGCATCTAATGTCTAACTCTTGTAATTTGCTCACTTGCCTTCTCTTCTTGGTGGAGAAAGCACTTGAACTTTCAAAGCACCATTCCTTCCCTTTGCCCGTACATCACCACCACCTGACAAGTTTTATCCTTATGATGGGATTCAGTTCCACTGAAACAGCTAATTTATATTAATCCAATGTCCTCCCTGAGCTTCTAAGTCTTCCAAGTATTTTAAAGGGTAAGGCCAAACACTCATGGAATTGTATCTAAACTGGTTGACTGAAAGTGCTTCTGAGTTTCCAGGTCCACTCTTACCCTACATCCAAATTTCATCTAAGGCAATTGCAGTGATATACCAAGTGTGTACTGTATCTTGATTCCTGCCTCACATGGGTTCATTTCTAAAAGCAGAGAGGGAAAATGACCACGTAACCCGCAATCACATCCATCCCCACCCAATCTGATATACTCAAACAGACCTGAGTGCAGTGACATTCTTTGTTGCCACAGCTTCATTTTGGGGTCTCCAGTTCCCACACTGGAATGCACCTTCTGAACTTCAGCTCACAGTCTCCCTATAACATGCCTGAGGAGCATAGTGTACCTATTCAAAATGAGAACTTGCAGTCTAAAACACACTCCTGGCCTTAGATAGCTACATTACTCCTTTGGAGAGGGATCACTGACTATCTAATCTTGTTAAGGACAGATGCAATGAACTGTGACTTTTTCAAATGTAGCAACCTAGACAGGAAAGATCTAAGCTTTGGTTCAAGGCAGAGGAGCACACACTGCCACCAAGCTATATGCACACTGGGGGGGCTGGGAGGGTAGTGGTGGTGTGTCAAGAAGGGAAGCCCCATCTTCTGTAGTTATGCTGTTTCTGAGCAAGAAAGAAGGGTATAGATGTTACAGCTCAACAAGAAGGCTGCCACACGAATGTGGACTGGAGAAGACCCATGTTCCAGTCTGGAATCCCATAATTGCTGATGCATTTTTGCAACAAATGGTCACTAAATAACATACAGAACAGGTACCAAGACCAAAGGCTGGAGTTCAGGTCTTACTCCTCTCTGCCCTGTGTGCACCTCCACTATTGGTCTTACCCATCTCCTCTGCTATGACCCGATGCGACAGTTTCAACTGGAGAGGTAGATAAGTGTCTCAGCCCTCCTTCTGAGACACGTGTCTGAGTCCCTCAAGCTAAGAAGTGGTTGGAAACTATTGAAGAAAACACGAGCATTGATGGAAGCACATGCTATTTTTGAATTACAGGGTTTGTTACCTCTTTGCTCCACAGGCAATTAAGTGTGCTGAAAACCCATCTGTTAGATCACATTCCCTGGAAACTTAATGTAGAGACATCTAGTCTGTGCCTGGAGTGGGTGTAGGAATAAGACAAAGTTGAATAACTGAATACCTGTCAAAAGAGTTGTACTTTTGGGCACACCCTGAAACAGCATGATAGGTACCTACATTGAAACCTGCTTCAAAGCTGTCCCTGGGATGGTCCTGAACTCCTGGCATAGCACATCTATGAGCTCACCATATCTCAGGTCTCTAAGGAAACACAGGGCAGCATTCAATATCCGTTGGAGTTGGCTAGGCACTGAAGGCTTTCCACCCAGGTATATCACATTACTGAAATCCAGAGGATCGCTTTGAGAGAAGTTGGCTACAAGCTGCAAATAACTTCAGTCTTGCGGCAGTTAACCCTGATGCTGCACCCCAGAATGCCCTAACCTCCTTCAAGTCTCTCATCCCCTTGAGGATTACCAAGGGGTAAGGCCGGAGGCATTGCCATTTTGTCAGCAAGGCTCCACCTCATAATAAAAAAAATATTCTCCCGTAGGTAGATCCAGGGTCTCAATAGCATGAGCCCACTACAGAAGAGCCATAGCACTGTAGAATTTTATGTAAACTTTCAGGAGGAGACCAGCAACAAACATATGTATGCACTTTCCAAAGCCTATACACAGCAGGAATGGCATTAGACCAAACTTCATTAAACACTTACTATGAAAGAACTCCATGATATAATTAGCACTTTTTTCCTCAGGAATCTCAAAGACACTGCAGGTCAGAGCTGCAGGGGATCCAACAGAACTCTGTGAGATTACCTGCATGCATACATTATCTGGTGGGTGCTGTCAGTCTCTCACTTTCCTGTGCAATAAACACTGGGGGGAAGAAATCACCATTTCTCTTTTCCCCTTTACCTCTGCTGCACAGGAGCAAAAAGAAGAAAGAATTTTGAGATCACTGTTGCAGAGATCAAAAGCCTTTTTCTACTGGCTCTGACCTAGTTCTTTCATTCTTACTAAAGGGAAAAAAAAAAAAAAAAAAAACACACTTAAAGGAACATTGTCAAAACTGTTAGGTCTAAAAATAGACTTACCTTGGCAGTGCTCCCATCTAGATGGGCTCATATCAAGGAGTACAAACCCACTTTCCCCATACACACACCACTCCTTTCATCAATCAGGAAGCACTGGTACTGCACAGCCCAAAGGACATCCCAGTCCACATAATCTCTTTTGGGACGCTCAGGTATGTATTACATATAACTGGCAAGGAACTGTAGTATCCTCCAAATTCCTATTTCATACTTGCAAATCCATCGCCACCAGCTATCCCAGTAAAAAATTTGGGATATCTTCCTTAAGTAAACCATTGGACATCTGTTGCCATAACTGAAGTCCAGTACTCCATGCTAAGACAGCACTAAAATAATCAAATTTGAGGAAGACTTCAACAGTTTGTTAGATAAAATGAAATCAGAATTTTTCAAAGATTCTCCACGAACTAGAAGTTACAAAATATTTTCACTTTAGCCACACAGAGCATTTCTGAAAAGAGAAACAAAGAGTCTCTGGGTTCATGGCCGAGACTAACAAATGGGCAGTTTCCAGAGAACAATAGCCGTAGTGGAACTGGTGGGGCAGCGGATGTTGGCTCTGGCCAGGAACTCCCATGCTCCAGGATCCGTGGTTCCCTTGTGCCCCAGGGACCTCTCCACTCCCTGCTAGTTGCATGCCAGAGCCAGCCACTTGCAAGTTCGCACAAGAAGCCAGTTAGCCCAGCCATCTAGAAGCCTTGCTACACTCTAAAAAGGTCTGAAGACCCAGGAAGCCCATCCTAGCCAAGCTCCCAGCCTACTATCACAGAGACTGGAAGGCCAGACAACCTCAGCTTAACCTGGGTTTTCAGGGCTGTCCTTATTTCCAAGCTTCCAGAGCTGACATACAGCAGGTTATGCTGTCGAGATCCCAAGCAGCAAACCCGGAAAATGTTTTTCCAATGAAAACAAACAAATCAAACAACTAGGAAAAAAAAAAAAGTAGTCTGCGTTTCCTAAGTCCAAGACATTTTGAGTTCAGCAAATTGGCATTCTTCTACAAAACTATCAATTTAGAAGATTCAGTACCAACTTTATTTTTGACTAGAGTATGATGGGCACACTGTAGTGATCAGAGCCATGAGGGACAAATAACCTCTCAGCTTCCCAAACAGAAGCTGTAATGCCACATGTTACCCTCCAAAAGTTGCAGTTCATGAAAAGAATACGGGTCACACCCAGGGCTCCAATACTGCAGAAGATGCATTAAGATAAAAGTATGCTTTTAAGTACAGTCACACAAAGAAACATAGTTCCAACAGAAAATGATGGATAAGAAAAGGCCTTAAATGTGCATTCACTACGTCTACACAAAGTAGTCACAGCTGCATGGCTACTTGTGCTGAAGAAGTAGTCATCTTGCTGTGCTAGTGTGAGGATAATATAATTATGCAAACGCAAGAAAGTTGAGGGAGAAAAACCCAAAATTGGAGGAAAGCAGAACATACAAGAAAGCCTGTTCTGAGAGACCATCGCAGGGATGCATCCTGGGCAAAGGAAATGGGAAGAAGGAGTTAAAGAAAAAAATCCCATCTCAGGAGAAGGGAAAGGCACTGCTTCCCAAAGCTTTAGCAGAGCTTTCCTTCATTAATATTTACAGAGCTTTTACAGATTCTCAGATGGAAAGCACTGCAGATATGACAGGAATTATTACAGACCTGAAAAGATCTAGCAAACCGACTGAGGACTTCAAGTAAATAAAGGAGGATGACATTAGAGAGCACACTGAAATAGGGGTTGCTGCTGGCATATGAACCATCTGGTGCATGGCAGTCCATTTCATTTACTTACTTACCCACTACCAGGCACACATGCCCAGTTCACATTGCTAAGTTTTTGCCACTGAAGCAGCAATGCTTTTATTCAGGACCACTACCTTCCTTCTTTATATCATTACAGTCTTCAAAACTGCCACTCAGTAGAACAGCCTGCACACAACACATCTGTCTGACTCAGGTAGACAGAGCTTAGGATGGACAACTTTAGATGTACACAGACACCTCTGAGACAGTGATTTTGTTTACCTTTATTTGGATTTGCCTAGGAAGTTGTTTTTCAGGAATGTTAAGCTGCCCACTGCCTTCAGTGAGCCCAAGTTTTTGCTGGACTATCATCTGTGCTGCCCACTTTGGTACTCAGCAAAAGACAGCTTTCAGCATGATTTTCAGCAGTAAAGCAAGTGATCTCTGATGGAACTGCAGATCTCAGCCTATCTGAGAAACAAAGCTCAAGGCGGTCTCAAGATAAGCACCCCCAAAAAAACCCAACATACCCCAAATGAAGCATAGGAGAGGGGTCAGATGGCTGGTTTTCACACTGTGGACTTCTGAAACTTTCCCAAGGGCACAGAAGGAAGCAAGATGGGACACAAACCCCAGGGATTCTCAACGCTTTGCTCTAAAGCGCTAGAAAACAGAGTGAATTTTGGAAGCGGACAGCAGGAAGGTGGATTTGCCTTTTCCCATACACCTCGTCACATCTCTCCTCCAGCTTCCCAAAAGCCCCACGGAAAGGGAACATGCAGACAACGTCAGGCTGCCGCAGGAGCCCAGCATCTATTGGAAGACCCCAACAAAGCATCCACCTTTCCAGCTCTCGGTAGGCACCACCTCAATTACCGGGAACTTAACCAGGGGCCGGGCACTTGGCGAACACCTCACGGCTCCCGCCTCCCCGGGAGCCGGGCACCTCGGCCCACGGGCTTGGGCATCTCCTAAGGGGGAAGGAGAGGCCGAGCGCGCCCCGGCGCCGACAGCTCTGCGCCCACGCCGGAGGACGGCGGGGGGCTGCTGGAGCTTCGTGGGCACCACGGCCTCAGGCACTTGGGCGTTTGGGGCGGCTCCGAGGGACGGCGGCGCCTCGGCTCCGGCGGGAGAGCGGCGGCGGGGCGGGGAAGACGCCCGGCGGGCTGAGCGGGGCCGCCGGGGCCACCTCGGAGGGAGGCGGCGCAGGTCTGCCGCCCCTGCCGGGAGAGGCGGCACCTCCGGGCCCGCCGGGAAGTTGCCGGACTGAAGCCTC